ATGAGAAGAAGATTCTTGGGATAAATTACAGAAGTAGGGTACCCAGGCCTACTCGGATAACGTTCTTGCTTGCCGCGGGGTTCCCACAGACGCAGAGACAGGAACGACCAGAAGCCGCCGGTTACCGATGCAGACGCTCCTTGGATTTTCACCAGAGCCCTTGTTAGCCGGCGTGTGAGTCAGACCTGTCCGCCTTGGGTGGCCCTACCAGGAACGAAGTTCCGGGCGGCATAGCTCTGACACTACCGTTTACCCCCCCCCACTGACTGTGAGGTAAGGGTTGGACTTTATTTATATACAGTGTAACCCGGATATAAGAGAGTTGTCGGGACCGGAGAAGAAGTCTCTTATATCCGGGTTTGGTCTATTTTATATACATTAACACAGGCTCTAATTTGGGACCAGAGAAAATCTCTCTTATATCCGGGTTTCTCCTATATCCGAGTCTCTTATATCCGGGTTACACTGTATACATATATGATATGATATAATTAAGAACTAGTAGTAAACGTATTTCAATCTAACGTGTTTCAGTTTTATTAAAGCTTCGTCAGAGATCGAGAATATAAATGAAAAAGCAAAGAGACAGTGTACTGGTATGTTATGACTTTTGGTTAGTTCTCATTGATCAGACACCCGTCACGTGTATTAACGCAATAGATAATATATAAATGTGTGTGAGAAACATTTTAGACGTTAATGTGTGTGATAGTGTAATAGTGTGTGTGTAAAAAAAACGCTTGTGTCTAAGTGATTGTAGACGGTAATGTTCATGTAAGTTTATAAGTGTGTACGTGAGAAATGCCTTCAGATGTCACCCTCGTATGGCCGGTGAAATGTACTGATATGTTGCAAGAATTTAGTATTTGGTCGGAATTTAATATTTTCGTGTATGTTTATGTGTGTGTAGGGAAAGTCTGTGGTCGTTAACTCTGTGTAGGTCGGTGAAACAAAGTAAGTAATACACTAGAACATAACCAACAACACAGGATCAATTGAAAGTCTACTCGAATATGAGTATCCACTAAAAAAAAAAACAAATTCTGCAACGTATACAATGTAAATATTTTACTACACACTAGCAAATCAAAATTCTTGAACCTGTAGAATATATATATATATATATATATATATATATATATATATATATATATATATGAAGAAAATATCTGGAAAAACAAAACAAAAATCCTTAAAAATGCGATTATGTTGTTTTAATATGAATGAAATGTCGACGTCTGACGTTTCGGTTTAATAACCTTCTTCAGGACAATATTCATTAAAAATACAATTAACATAATCAGTATAACACGACGAAAACAATGGACATAAAAACAAGTCATATCCAAAACAGATAAATGAAAATTTTAAATGATCAGCTTTCCGTTTGAGCGTGGTCACGTCGTCATTCATATTAAAAACAACATAATCGCATTTTAAGGATTTTTGTTTTGTTTTTCCAGATATTTTCTTCATTCTGTCGGATTTATATCCATTTATATTTGCTTATCATATATATATATATATATATATATATATATATATATATATATATATATATATATATATATCACATAATGATTCATCGCATCTAGAAGAGGAATCACCCACAAAATGCAGTGGCCATCCATTACCGATAATCGAACGCGTACCGTTACGATACAACGCAAGCGTCATACGACTGAAACAGTGGGCCCCAGTGATGAAGCGGAAACCAACTAGACTCGTTATTGAGCAGCTACCTAATTCTTGTGGTGATACTCATCCAAACATATATAACCTAACGGAACCGGCCCTAAGACCACCGTCTTCCACCAAGCCACTCCCTTCAGAACATTAAACCTGGATCAGGCATAGGCTTATAGCTATTAGAAATTTGGAGAATTATATATATATATATATATATATATATATATATATATATATATATATATATATGTGTTTTTGATGTAATTTCCTTTTCTGTTTTTGTTCTTTTTCTTTTTTATTCACTTTTTCATTCTTTATTTTTACTTTTATTTTCCTTTTTTGAATTTTTGATTTTTTTCCTTTCCTCCTTTTTGTTTTCTTCTTATAGAAGATAAGTTCTGCATCGTTCTTATATTTGCGTGCATATATGTTTAGTTATATTCATGTGTCTATGTATTAGGATGCGAATGTGTTTGTCGTGTCGTCTACATTATCTAAATCACTCGTGCCTTAGGTTTGTAGCGTTTATTGATATTTTCACATCAACGTCAAATTACCGGTTAAGTTGGCATTTAGCTAAGAATAGTAGTAGTAGTAGTAGTAATAATAATAATAATAATAATAATAATATAATCCTTTTATATATATATATATATATATATATATATATAGCATAATGAGAAGCAACGTATTCTTTCTTAATATGTATATATAGAAAAAGTTGCAAATTAAAAAAATAATTATGTTTTTTATGAAAATATTTATTTATATATATTTGATATATCAGATCGACGTCGATCTTCAGAAATTACTGTTTTTAAAGGTTTGTTTACAAGTATACATATATATATATATATATATATATATATATATATATATATACATATATTGTTGAAACTTGACTAATGCATGGAATAATAATGCAACACAAAATGTACTTAGAACAAAATGTATTGAAACAAGAAAGTGTACACAATATTTACATATAGTCTTTCGTATATTCCTGGTAAGACCGTTCCTGGAGAATGTGTTGACTGAGTCGCAGTCAGGCAGAGTCTCTGGTTGAATCTCTTGATTCCTCCCTCTCTTCCCGGTACCAATCATATTTATATGGTCGGTACTCTACTATGCAAATTTGGTGGATCCTACCACGATATATATATATATATATATATATATATATATATATATATATATATATATATTTCTTTTACTTCGTTCCACTTTTGAATAACTTTGTAATATTTTAAACCTAATGATCGGTTAAACTTAAAATGTTAAATTTTACTGTGAAGTTAAAACGTAATTATTTTATATTGATTTCTAGTTTAATCTCGCATTAAATTTAATGAACTAACGATTTATATTTAGAATATACTGACACGTTGTTTTTGAATTTTCAAATAATCGTATTGTGATTGGTCGTCATAGGTTACGTAACAAGGTTTCCCCTATTAAGGGGGTTGGATCTGGTTTTGAATTTTCAAAGAATACTCGTTTTTTCCCAATCAACACCATCACTTGATATGTCACCAGAAGTGTTGAAACAAAATAGCTATTTTTGTAGTGATTTTATAACAAGCTTATGTTTTAAGTTTTGAATATATATATATATATATATATATATATATATATATATATATATATATATATAGCATAGTTCATTTCGGTGGAGGTTATCACTTCTATATTTGCTCCTTTCACGTATAGTCACATATATGAAAGTTGGAAAGCTAGCTATAAAAAATGAAGGAGATAAAATTGAAAGAAGAAAAATTAAAGGAGAAAACAAGGAAAAACACACAAGAATGAAGATAAATGAATATGACAAGGAAGGTGAACAACACCGAGAAATGAACAAAGTAAAAGAGAAAAAGGTAAGAGAGGTAAAGTATGGGGAAGAATAAGAAGGTGTAGGAAGCAGAAAAAAAAGAACAAAAAAGAAAATGATAGCGCAAAAGAAAAAGTAGTGAGGAAAGAAAGAAAGAAAGTCGAATGAGAAGAACCATGAGAAAAGAAAAAGTTAGAGTGAAAATAAATAAGGAATGAATGAAGGTCAGAGTGAAAATAAATAAATAAATAAATAAAGAAAGAAAGAAAGAAATATGATGGCGAATAAGAAGAACCCTGTCAAAAGAAAAATACAGAGTGAAAATAAACAAAGAATGAATGAAGGAGAGAAAGAAAGTTGGAAAGAAAGAAAGAAAGAAAATAATGACGAATAAGAACCATGCGAAAAGAAAAAGGCAGAGTGAAAATAAATAAAGATTGAATGAAAGAAAGTAAAAAAAAAAAGAAATAGAGAAGGAAAAAAAGGAAGAAAGAAGATGACGTATGAGAAGACGTTTGATACAAATATAAAAGTTGAGAAAAAGATCAGAGATAAAGATGGATGCAAAAAAAAAAAAACAAACAGAATGAAAATAAATGAAGAATGAATGGCGAAAATAAATAAATAAAGAAGAAAATGATGAATGAAACGTTTAAGAAAAATGTAAAAGTTAAGAAAAAGATCAGAGAAAAAATAACGATGTGGGAAGAGAATGAGTATAAATATAAAAGAATGAATAAAAGAAAGAAAAAAAGACGAAGACCTGTGAAAAGAAGTCTGAGACAAACGTGAAAGTTAAGAAAATGTTCAGATCTAAAGGAACAATGTCAGAAGAAAAGGACAGAATTAAAATTAATAAGTAAAGGAAGAAAGGAAAAAATAAAGAAAAAAGTAGACGAACAAAAAGTTTGATAGTAATGTAATAATTAAGAAACGGATCAGAGATAAAAGTAAAGGAAAGAATGAAAATCATACTATTTATAAAACCCAGGTTGTGTGTGTCTGTTCGTTTATATATTGGATCGGATTTCCTACATTTTTCAACCGATTTCAACAAAACTTCACAGGACTACGTAAAATTACTTTGCGGTGGTTCTAACAGCGCCAAAAATTGGAAAAACACAATTGTTTTTGCACGAAATCAATTTGAAAACACGATTAAGAGGCATCACGAGAATGAAAGGGGAACAACTCATATCGAGTTATACTTATTATAAAAACCCAGGTTGTTTGTGCGCGTGCCCGCGCGTGTGTGTTCGTTTATATATGGTATCGGATTTCCTACATTTTTAAACCGATTTCAACAAAATTTCACTTTTTTTGGCAGATAGTGTTTCTTATTATCTTGCACAATTTTTTCTTCATTTTTACATTCAGAATGCTTTAAAAATTCCATTTACAAGACAATTGTTTATAATAAAATTCTATTCAATCGGCAGACTCATAACGATTGAAAACAACGTTTTTGTTTGAGTTTGGG